GAGAGAGAGAGAGAGAGAGAGAGAGAGAGAGAGAGAGAGAGAGACTCCCTAGGACCTTGTTGTAAGGAAGGGTTAAAGTCATACGTGAGCAATGAAGACTGGCTGAGGAGAATCCCAGAGTGGCCTGTTCTGCGTTATGCCTCGAAGAGACTTGTTTCCTCCCGTTCCATCCTCTCTGTTTTATGGCCTTCAAAAGCAGAAGTGGACATCTGAGAATTTCCCCTTTGAATAACTGATTTCACAACCACTCGAAGAAAAAAGAAAGAGGATTTGTGGGAACTTTCAGGGGAGAGTACTAGTAAATAACTCTGTAGCTCCTGGAAGGGCGTGGAAGGGCGAGGGGTACCAAACAATGACACATTTGCAAATGGGCATTGTTTTTCTGATAACCATTGCACCTTTGACGTCAATATTAAAATACTGGATTTTCCTAGGTTAGAAGAATGTGTAAACTCCGGCTATCTGGGACAAAGTGGAGAATTCACAGATTAATACACGCAAACACGTCCCTTCCCTCACCTTGACCCTAAGTTTAGGAACCTTCCCACCTGGAGATAGACAAATGGGTACATGAAGTGACAGTAGCCTTCCCTGGCTGGAGTGGGGGGCTTGTTTCCTACCTCTGGAGCTCTCTGTCGACTACAGAAGGCTCTGGGGAAACACCTGGCCTCCCTTGAATGGGGCAGGGAGCAAACAGTGTGGAGGGGTGCAGGCTTCTGAGAGAGACAGGGGAACCCTGGAGACCAGTTCATGCAACCTCTAAGACCAGAAGCTGTTAGCTCCAGTCTCACGGCGAAACCATCTCAATGGTAGGTGGCCAGTGAAACAGCCTGAGTTGAGTCATACTTTGAAAAAGGTGGTGACTATGTCAAGCATTCACGATCACAGTCTCTTTTGGAAATGCAGAGGAGATACTCTCCACCTAAAAGAATGTTTCAGCAAACACTGAAAAGTGGAATATTGTTTCTGTAAGAATTTCCAGCCATGACTGTATCTTGTGGTAACAATGAAAGTTACCAGACTCTGTTCAACTCAGAGGCTAGGAGAGTGCTCACTCCAGATATCACCCAGGGTAGCCCTCCATTTGTAGAATGAGGGAGAGACCAGGTTATAAATGGCACATAGAGTCTAGAAATGCCTTCCCCAGGCCCTCTGGCACATGTCTTTTCAGAACACTTATTACAGCTCTGAGTTGAAATCTTGCTCAATTTTTTGGTTCTCCCAGCAGTCTATGAACTCTTTCTTTGAGCCAAGTCTAGCACAGTGCCTGATATCTAAATTTCAGCAGTGGGGTTTGCTACCTGAACGAGTCAGAGAGAATTTGGCAGCATTTTCATCCAAACAAGCGTGTGCCTACTCTGTGCAGGTTCTGTGCCTGCCCTGCATTGTCTAGGGGCAGAACCCTGTGAGGGTGTTTGAGGACCGAGGGAAGTGGGCCCCACAGCCAGCCCAGGACAGCTTTGCCGGCTTGCTCACCCAGCAGCATTTTGATTCTTAATTTGGCAAACAGTATCTTGACATCAGGAAGGGAGACTCAAGAATTCTGCCTTCAGTAAGTTGCATTTTCCACGGGAAATCTAAAAGCTGTTCAATGCATTAGTTTCTTGTGAGTCTGGTAAGCAACAATCAGTTTCTAACCCTGAGCCCTTACAAAATTTGGTGGTGTCTGGTCCTTCAGAGGCCCCATATGGATGGCCTAGGGGACTGATTTTTTTTTGAGACAGAGTCTCACTTTGTTACCCTTGGTAGAGTGCTGTGGCAACATAGGTCACAGCAACCCCAAACTCCTGGGCTTAAGCAATTCTTTTGCCTCAGCCTCCCAAGTAGCTGGGACTATAGGTGCCCGCCTCAACATCCCGCTATTTTTTTTAGAGACGAGGTCTTGCTCTAGGGCTCAGGCTGGTCTTGAACTCAGAGACTGTGAGCTCAGAGACTGCTTTGTTTTAACTCCATAGGATCCACTTTTCTTTTTTTCTTTGCGGTTTTTGGCCAGGGCTGGGATTGAACCTGCCACCTCCGGTGTATGGGGCCAACGCCCTACTCCTTTGAGCTACAGGCACCGCCCATGATCCACTGGTCTCCAAGCCCCTTCCTCAGAATCCAAGGGAGCAAGGCCTGGTGGTTAGGTGACTCTGTGGGCCATCCTGACAGGGAACACAGAGATGCCCCCAGTCTGCTGGTGGGATACAAGCTTAGCAAAGGAGAATGAAAGTCAGTGACAGGAAGGGAGGTATGCAAAAGATGTGAGCATCAGCCCTGAGTTAATGCACGCTCTCCCAGAGCCTACAGCTATTTCCACTTCTCTATCTTCTAATTGTAACATTCCAGGACCTCAGAATCTGCCAGTTGAAAGGAGCCCTAATGATTTCAGGTGTGATCGAGAGGGACCACAGCGAGGAAGACAGGAATAGCTATCTGAACGGGAATAACAGACGAAGAAACAAAGGCCAGGAAAGGTGGAATGACTCGTGTAATATTGCAGTGGGGTGGAAGTGATGCTGGTATCCAGGTTGCATGAGCTTCTGAGTTTTTTTTCTATGAGGAACTTTTGGAAACAAGAGGTAATTCCCCTCAATGTAAGAGTCTCTACAGTTCTGCCCTGTCTCAAACTGGCCTGATCTCCTGGGCCCCAAACCTGCTGCCAGCCTGTCCATCTCAGGAAGTGAAGTTTCTTGTGTCAAGCAGACAGGTTGCACAATGTCTACCCCAAAACCCTGTCTTCCTAAGGGGACTGCTCAGGCCATAGCACTCCCTTCCGGTCCCCAGTGAGTGGAAAATATCTCACTACAGAAATAGTTGCCCTAAGGAAGGCAGTGGATGATGATGTAGATGGTGATGTAGCCCCAAAGAAATGGACGGAAGTGGGGAAGTGGCGATGCCAGGCTGTCATGGGGAGCTCCAGCTTTTGGGGAACTCTTCAGCTCTTGAGTCATCTAGGCCCTTCTCAGTTGCAAGTTCTCCTCTGCCTGCAGATCATTCATCCAAGACAGGAGACTGGCATTTCTTCAAAGCAGCAGGTGCCCTGGTATCATCTTGTGTCTGATCTTGGGCTTCCTAACCTGGTTGCAGGGTTTGCCTCACCTCGATGGTCTTCAACCATTTTGACCAAGAAGACAAGCAAAATAATCATGGGTTAGTTTTGATATTATTGTGTGTATGTGTAGTGATGTCTGCTCTCTATAGTAGACCATTCTTCCCTGTTCATCCTCTTGTGCAGAACAGAACTAAGCAATGCTTTTCCCTACTGTTTCCCAGACCCCTTCTTAGTCTTAGAATGGACTTCCTAAAATTGTATAGACAGTCTCCAAGTTACAAACATCAGGCTTGTGTACAACTTGCCATTTACAAATGGAGGCTACTGTAGTAAGTCCCTAAGTTACAAACATTCAGCTGGCATATGACTCTCACTTATGAATGGAGGTTATTTCAGGTAATAGGTAAATGTACCTGTTCCAACTTAAGAACAAACCTACAGAACCTGTCTATCTCATTCATAGCCTGGGGACTACCTATACTTACAAGTCTGTCATTTCACTTTCCTTGTTTCTGTGGCTCCCTTTGGTCCTGAAAGTATAAACAATATCCTGTGTGTCTCTGTGAGTATTCCCCTCTTTTTCTTTCTGATTCTGGGATTATTTGGGATGGGGCAACATGATTTTCAGTTTTGAGACCTCTGCCCTTTCTCTTTCAACTTCAACTCCAATGGACCTAATACCCTTCTTGCATCCAGGTACTCAGGGAGGGAAGAGCCAGATGCTGGCGACATTCTATTCTCTTCCCTTGTTCAGAACAAGGAGGGCTTAGATATAATGGACAGGTGGCTGAGTCCGGTTAGGTATATGGTGGTTTTTCCCTACAGGCTAAGCTGTTATTCTACCTCTAAGAGGCCAATACAACCTTGCCCTTTCTTTGGATCCATCAGAAAAGGTCCCTGGGTGGGTACAATGGACAGCAGGGCTGTCCTACACAGTATCTCTTCTTATATATAATGGGTACAAAGAGAGTGAGCTACAAATAGAGGGGGCTCTGGGACCACTTATCCCAGGATTCTAGAAACATTTTCTAGAAAGGGCAGATAGTGAATGTTTCAGATGCAACCGCTCAGCTCTGTTGTTTCAGAAATGCAGTCAGAGATCAGATGTAAATGAATGGGCTGGGCTGGATTTGTCCTGCAGGTCATAGGTTGTAGGTTATCCTACAACACTGTATTATACTATTTTTCTTACATACAAATTTATTTTATATATTTATTTATTGGTTTTTATTGTTTGTTTTTTGAGGAAGAGTCTCACTCTGTTGCGCTAGGTACAGTGCCGTGGCATCATAGCTCACAGTAACCTCAAACTCTTGGGCTTGAGCAATCCCCTTGCCTTAGCCTCCTGGGTAGCTGGGACTACAGGCACCTACCACAATGCCTGGCTAACATACAAATTTAAAAACAACACTTTTTAAAACAGCTGCTCTTTATTGAGCATCTAGCAAGTGCCAGGTACTTTTTTCCTCATTATCTTATTTAGTCTTTCTAATAATCTGTAAGGTAGATAGTATTGACCCACTTCCCCCAAGAGGAAACTGAGGTGGACAGAAATTATTTAAGACAACACAAATAGTCAATGCTGGAACCACAATTCAAACATGGGTTAGTTGAACTCGAACCAGATCCTTCTAGCTCGTATTTATTGTTATGAACATTTATTGCTCCTGTTTTTTTCTGCCCACACAGTGCCCATTGCAGACCCCTTTCTCAGTGATCTAATTATATTCTAAATTACGTTGACTCGGCAATTCACATAGCTCAGCAACCCTGGCCCTGGGTGCTTCCGCATTGTCCTTTTAGGATTAGGGTAAACTCTGCTCCTTTGTCCTTCCTCCTTTCTCCTCTTGGCGTGATAGTGTGTGAATTGGCTTCTTTCCCTTCTCTCGGGGTAGCACTGGGACTTTCCAAATAAGGGTTTTTAGTTCTCTCTCTTCCCTTTCCTGAGATGCTTCTAGATGTCTATTCACTTTCTCTCCTGCAACTGATAACTCTCTTGCTTGATTTCTTTTGTCCTTCTATTCTTCTTTCAGACGTTGTTTGAGCACTGTCAAAAGAAATTCGGTTAGTGTTTCTATCCTCGGAATTGTGTGCTTGTGATGCTAAAAAAATCTGTGACAAAAAATATTTCTCTCCTGACAT